GGCTCGCAGCACCTCGTCAACACAGACAACATCTACATTGGCTGCCTCAAAATCATCCCGTCTGCGTCCGGCAAGTATAGTTAGGCCCTATCGTGCCGTCAGCCCCAGCCTTCAGACATCACCTGCAAACCGACCTCGAACGATTGTGCCAACTCATGGAACACCATCACGTCCACAGCAAGCGGCCAGTCAGCCATCATCGCCGATGCGTTACGTTAGTCGATCATACAGTCAAAACATTTTGGGTTTTCAACCGACACGTGAAAATTATGCAGGTAGTGGCTGCTCTTATCGACACGAAAGTACTCGAAGCGTTTAACTTCGATTCATTTTTATACTTAATCTTTCGACTTGCCCGTTTTCTTAAACATTATAAAAAGAATTTTAGTTCAGTGCAGCCGTAAATACCGAATGTCTTTGAATTGTAAGGGACAGATACAAACACTTAGTCATGAAAGGCATTTTTAGAACGCCGATTGTACATATTTTAAATCGCTATATCTCTTCAGCCGATCAACCAGAATTAATAAGCACTTCCAATCATGAAAAGAGTCAAATGTTGTTATTGGCACTTAGTACTTGGGCATTTAATTCCTCCGGACCTTCCCTACGATCATTGAAACTCTATGATGAGATGACGGTGCGCCTGGCATAAGCATGACGTCATGTGTACATATAAAATAACAGCTAAAAGTTAGTAATCTGCGCAGCGTTATGTGATGCCTTCTGCAATGTAGCTGGACAAAAAGGTTTTTGGAAAATGTAGGAAAGCTAAGGAAGATTAACGTTACCTTGTGCTTAAGAATTCTCCTAATTTTAAAGCAGATGGCAAAGTGAGACTGTCGCTGTTTTATGCATTTTCACCGCACTCTTCGGTAGGCCCAATCTGCCCAGTGTGCCTAGCATGAAAACAGAGTGGAGAAGGCCGGAGGCGTTATAAGGCGCAGATGGCTAGCATTGCGTGGCCTGCACCTACGCATGCCAGCATTTGTTATGGGAACGCGTCCCGAATAACGTAAAGCTGTCAGAGCTTATATGCTAAGCCGACTTTGCTTCGCACCATCCGTTGTTTTTTAAATATAATTTCAAAAATCTGTCAGTGGAAAGAAAAGGAGAGTAAGTGGACAACCAACTTGGTTAAATGCTGGAAATTACAGATCCACGTGGAATTTATGACGGCTTTATTCTGGTCGCAGGAGGCCAATCTGCGCTATGTCAGTTAACAAACATGTGTTCATAATCCCAAGCTTGGCAGTTTGAAGCCGGTTTTCCATCTTATTAGATCTGAAACGTAAAAGAAAATGCGGATTTCTTCAGCAAAAATATGCTTGCCCATTGTTTTGTTATGACAGCCCGTGCGTAGAGTTCCGCTCGCGAAAAAAGAGAGCGTCTTTCTACCATTTTTTACTATCATCCCTGCAGTCAACAACATCTTTCGTCCTGCGGTCGATCAGACAGAATACGCGAAAAGGGTAATTGCGCGACCTCCGGTGGCGACCAGAAGTGTTAGCAGTAGCAGTGATTCCTCATCACGTTTTCATCGAGAAGAGGTTCAAACTCCACATGAAGCTGCATCAGATTCAAACTCCTCCGAGCGTTCTCAATGCACAGAGGCAGGCGAAGTGTCAATGGAAGCACTTCGCTGTCTAGAAAGTCGTCTTCGGCAGCTTGTGATGTCTAAGGAAGCCCTGAGTAAGAAATATAAACTCAGAAGTCCTCTAAAATTTTTTTTACAAAAGCGTTTTTCCTTGTGGTCGAACGCTGACGTTAGCATGACTATTTATGCATGTTTGCGAGTTATTTGGAACCTTCTCCTAATTGTTCTTTTTCACAATTGCTTTGCTTCGCTTGCATAAGGACGTTCCAAGATGGCCCAGGGAAAACTTATTCTCGAGGTTTCAATGTTGTTTGAATATGCACATTTGAGGTAGTCTTTTTGTCTAGTAGTAGCGTATACTCCAAAATTGATCTTACCATTTTGCACATTTTGATGAGGCTCTTTTGGGGTTTTGTTCAACTGGGGACCTAAGCTTTGCTCACCAGTGATACAGAGCGCTTTCTATGCGCAAACGCATTCACCTAGCCTTAATTGGCTGCGCGTTTATAAGAAATTTAAAAGAAATTTATACAACACACTCGATAGGTGCCACACATATTTCCTTCTATCTATTTAACTATAATTTCACCTTAACACTTGATTCATCTTTACTGTTTCGTCACAGCTCTTTTAGACAATATAGCTAAGATATATTCGATAGGAATGACTTTGTTCATTGTTTAATCGCCAACTTATACGGACCAAACGCATGAACTGGCATTTCGGGTAAACCGATATACTTGTGAAGCACCGTTCTTGGAAAAGCATTATTCTGTCCAAAACATATCTTTAATGAAATGCCAATGTGAAACTGATCAAAAGTAAGTACTCATTCAAGAACCGATAGCTAGCGACAGTAAATTGATTTATTAATTGACTAACTACTTTAGACCCCATTAGGATTTAAGTATTCGCATTTAAAAGATTTCTGTTGGCTGATCGCTCGACTGAAATCCCTGACAGCTTATATTATCCGCAGATTATAATTATAATTTTCCACTTAAATGAGGTGCTTGGTGACTATTATCAGACATAAATATTGTATTTTTACCTAGAATAGTTCAACGCTGAGCGAAGAATTTGTTTTCAGAAAAACCTCAACGAGTCATGTTGAAATGGTAACACAACTACGTTACTCATCCTGTAGCACTTACACTTATTTTACTGAAATGGTGTTTCGATAAGTAAAATTCTGCTGTTAGTTGTATCAGAAATGCCTTTAGGTGAACATTTGGCTTTGTGATAGCATCACCTACCTTTTGCCTCTTTGAAGCCAGTCCACGTGATTCCTCAAGCGACTACGACACGGCTTCCGTTTTGCTTACACCGCCTGAAGGCCCAACTAGGCTGTCCACTTCTAGCCGAGATGGTTCGCCCACTTTACCACAGCGAAAAACATTTGATACTCGCCTACCGGTCCTGAAGCTGCTTGAGTCAAATCGGTATGGATCTAATTTCGACGAGGGCCCCGTCTCTGAAAGCAACTCATCTGCATCGCTTCAGGATTTTACCTACGATGAGGTTTGTTCAGAGTTTGAGGCAGTAATTTGTGTTGCATTATGGTATTTCTATACTCGTGTTTATATTTATACCTTGGTTTATTTTTAATTCCATCGAAAATAACAGCGTAAATAAGGCGGACGATCTTCGGGGTAGGTGTTTGTTTTAATCTTAAAAACGTGCGTAACGTTCAGTTTAAATTTATCTGGTCACCTGTCTAATAAGCCATAAATGGCCATTCGAGTTATCCTTGTCCCTGTCGGTAATGCCATTCCACATCTATCATCAGCTGCCGTGCGGTTGCTAAGTGGACGCAAATGTGAATCCTAAGGTAGGATGGAACGGGTTAGTTTGGTTACCGATTGCTGAGCACCTACACACTATTATGCATAATGCTTGCGTATGACCCACAAATGTTTTGGTTGGAATCTTTTTCGACTGTCGTTACAAAGGGGTCCAGGTTCTTATCACAGTCTGTCCAAAATTGTTGTTGGTTTACGGCTGAGTGATGCAGGCTTACGTGCCAAAAATGGCCACTGATGTCTCCGTTGTATTTTATTTGCACGTTAAATAACAATAAATGGAAAATAAATGAATTAAACAATTTTCGAATGCAGTTTAGTACTAAAAGAAAGGCACACACAGATTAAAATGTTTAGTTTGCGTTCATCATAGACAGCCAGATAGAAAAACAATGAAGAGTGATATTAAATACAGGGACATAAAGGGGGTGAGCTTTGCTAGTCTTCAAGGGGTAAAAACTGACGCTCATAAACGTGCGTGGGTGACAAGAATGTTCTACAGGCCTGAAAGGTTCGTCGTTGTAAATGTGGCGTTATATTTTTGGATAAAAGCGGATCTTCCCATCAAGGTGGCCTTACAGAAGGAACCCGCCGCGGTCTTTCACATGCCGAGAGGTTCATAAAAGCGCGGAAAGATGCGACCAGGATGTTAACTTGCTGCCGGAACAGCAAGGTGGGGAAAAGGAGATAACGTTACCGTAATCATTAACAGATCACTAAGGATGAGAAATAAGGAGAGGTTGAAGCGGCAAAGATCCTCGCTGCAGGGGCCTAATATCAGTGGTTTTCACAGCCAATTAGAGAATTTTACTTAATGACCACACCAGTGTCAGTCTTGGTTTCATCTGATAGCGCGTGGGCCGAAGCGTTAAAACAATAAAAAACTGCTTGATGAACAACTGACTAAGATTAAAATCGCACGGGCCTGCTTCAGCTGGGAAACTATCCGTCAGAATACACTAGAAATGACTATATTCGCCTCCCGCCCTTACGTGCAACCCCGCTTGAACCACTGGCGTCACCAACTTGTTGGCTTTGGCCGCTGGGCAGTCAAAGTGCCTGTTACAGAGGGGTTTTCAGACTGCCTTTACAATAACATGCTCTGTCTTCCAGCGGCCTGGAGGTGCAGTAGAGGCAAACAATTAATTTCGGATGAAGGCAATGGACTATCCTCATAAATCAAACCATTCATATGTATTCGATTAAAACCGTTAAAATGACCTTGTTGCCCAGTTTGTGTCAGCAACAGTTGACACAACTTTCTCCCCGTTATCCAATCCCACGGCCGTCAGCCGAACCCTGACACACTACTGCCAGCCTCTGATTACCGTTCACTGCCCCTCTCTCTTT